CTATATACTGTATTTACAGTACATGCATTCGTAAATTTAAATTACTTTTTTCTGTACTATATTAAAAACTAAAATTTATTTGTTTGTAAGCTTAAAATAGATCCTTATTAACCATATATTATTAAAAATGCATTAATAAATAAAATATAGAACGAGAATTGGTAATTTATGGTTTAGTCTAGTGGCAAGTAGATTTGGAGACAAGTAAATTCGACATACGTCATTTTTCGACTTAAGTGGTTCTCCTGGAACCAATTACCGACGTAAGGTGAGGTATACCTGTATTAGTTTTAATTAAAAACTTTTGAATTATTAATACAATAGGCATAACTGGTAATAACTTTCCAAAAAAATTATTCTGCACACACACTACTATAAATTTGGAAAAATTACAAATTTCCTATGGGTGAACTCTAAAACATCCATAGGAAATTCTCCCAATAGTAATTAGAGTGAAACCTTGCTATAAGTTGAGAAATGTCTGCATTATCTTGTTTAAACATAAAACAGTGAAATAAACTTTAGAGCAGTGAAATTCCTCAAATATTACAATAAAGTAATGAATTTTGGTTTTATAAACAATTTTCATGCTGATTAATCTTTTATTTTGCATATAGAAAACTAACTAAATTTCTACTTAATGAAACCTAATAACAGAATTTCATTAGTTGTGTATAAACAAAGATTAATGTATAAAAAATTATATTTTTATTTAGGCTAAATGATGAAGATATAGCTACTCAATGCACAAAAAATGCTTCTAAAGCTGCTGAAGTGGGTCGCCGAGATCTTGTGCAGGTTAGTATTAACATAGTTTATCATAATAATTAAAAATTTTATTTCTTTTTCTTATAACTTTATAATATGAACTTTGTTTTAGATGTGGTCAATATGTTCTCATATTGCTAATCCAAAATTGAAAGCAAATCTTGATCCTGACATTGAATGTCCTTGGGCTCAAAATTCATTTGGTAGGAAGATGCTCCAATCAATGTGGGTAATGTTAATATTTTAAATGTAAAAAGTATCATAAAGTAACTTTCACATTAATTTGGAAAAAATATCCAGAAATTTTAATTAATTCTTAAATTCTTTTTTGATATATGTTTATAGTTTGCTATCTGTTTCAAAAAGTATATACCAATGTAATAAAAATGTACTTTTACTTTTACATGTATTGTATATCATCATATTTGTTAGATATACTAGATTTTATGAAAATATTTTTAATGAACATCGCATTACATTGAATGTATTTCATCCACAATAATTGAAAAATTCAAAGACCATATTAGGTAAAAAAAATTCCAAGTTTTAAATTTTAATATTTCTGCAAATTTTTACAAATATAATTAAAGTTTTTTTACATAGATTAATGGTGCACAAACTATGGCTCTAGGCCCAAGATTAGATAATTAGATCCAAGTCCATTAGATAATTTTCCACATCTGTTCTTGAAACACTTTATGAAAAGATAAACAATTACAGTCTGTTTTTTTCAGCTTTTAAGGATTGTTAACCAGCTGTGAAATGAAAATAATTAACATATAAACAATGTAGGAACTGGATAACAATTATATTAACAATGTACATTGGCATCACAACATGTCTGCTCAAAATGTTTAAAAGAAGAACATGTAACCTTGATACAAAAAGGGGAATTACATGACCACATCTGTAGCCATCCTGGCCACAGAACACCAAATCCAAGCATATGTAGATGGAATCTGACTGCTACTTGCAATCAGAATACTCTCATACACCTTGAAAAGCTAGAGATATATATATGGTTTGGAAGAAAAATAAAGCCATAAATTTCAAAAATAGCATCTTCCCTCTAGCATGGTGATCTCTATTTGAAGTCCAGTAATAAATTCTGTGTGTAACATCAACAACCATTTAAATCATGTCTGTTCCTTTAATTTACGATGTTCAATTTTCCTACATTATTTTTTCAAACATATTTAACCTGATGAATAGCTAAAGTTATTGAAAACAGTTTGTTTCTCATTAAATATTATTTTGTTTTTTGCTGAAAATATAGCATAACTTTTCTAACTCAAACATCTGTAACTTGAATATTTCTTTAACTCAAAGAAAACAAAGCACTCAGTAGGTCTCAATGGAATAGCATAGGGATTTAACATCTCCAACCTGAATTTCTTAACTCTAATTTTCTCTGAGTTGAAGTTTTTAATGGTCCCCGAATTGATTTACGTTACTTTCAACTTATCCAACTTAAATTTTAATATTTATTCTATCCAAAGTGATCCTAATTATTGGATTTCCATGAAATTTTCAGACAGTTAGTGGTATCTACTCTCCAACACCAATTTTCAGACAACATTTCAGCCCAAAGCAAGAGATCCTCTCATTTTATGCCAACAAGATGTACAGTACCTGCAAAACTGTTCGATTCCATTAGTTACATTGAATATTTTGCTGGAAGGTGTTACATGGGCTGTTTAAAACAAAAAAAAAACTATCAGAGATTCTTTATATAATGCAAGAGAGGTAAAAATACATATCTTTTCAGAATAGGTATTTTTTACTCTATTGTTCTCTAATTTGAATTTCCTATAACGAAGTTTTTCCTGCTCCTTGGAGCTTCGAGTTAGGAAGTTTTACTGTAATTAAATAAAAAAAGTTAAATGAAAAAATAAAAAATACATAAACAACTCAGGTGCAAATCTGAATCACTGTAATGGAAACCACACACATTTCTTACTAGGCTAAGCCATTCTCTGGTCAATATCAGTAATTAAACAGTTTCTCAACTTTTCATGAAACTTCTCTTTATGGCCCATTCATTCAAATGATTTTATCAGGTTATAATGCTTTCAAAATCTGTACAATAAATAACATTTTATTAAAAATGTACATTACAACTAGTGATGCAATGAATAGTATATTCAGCCTCAGGCCGAATAGTCGAATATTCAGCCAAACTATTTGGCTTGATTAATGCGTGTACGAAAATTGGCATGCAAATCGCATTATGGCAAGGATCGCACATCCTGTTCTCTATTGGCCCGCTGTCACTATGCTTCGCCAATTGTGTTAATTCTTGACAGTTGTAGTGGACAGACATGAGCATCATGGCAGTATGTGATAAGTGATGATATTAAATGTGGATAACAATGAAATGACCTACACATGTAAATAATGGAAAAAGAACAGAGAAGGACTGCAAAGTGAAAATGTGAAAATAAATATGAAATTGAGTTGATAATGTAATCGAACAAGTCGAGGCAGCTTATTGGCGTAAAATTTGCGGGCGTCAGTTCCAAATAATTGTTCTCATGAATTTTGGAAAGCTAAATGCTTGTAATGAAAGTCACGTAGCATGCATGGGCAAAAGTCTGGGGCAGTTCAGGCTACCAACTGTCTGGAACTTCAGTTATGATAAATAATTTTGTACAATGAAACGAAAAAGTTAATTTAATTTTCAAGTTTATAATAAGGGATGATTTCATGAAAACACTACAGATCATTAATTATTATTTTTTTCATATTTTATGACCTAAGTTTTGATCTAATGTGCCCACACAGTAAAAATTTTCACCCCTTTAGGGTTAAATTTTGTAAAATCTTTTCTTAGCATGCCTAAACGTTACAAAAGGAACACATCCTCAAATTTTTAAGTTTCTAGCACCAGTAGTTTTGGCTCTGTGTTAATTATCCTATCAGGACTTGTTCTTTTCTATACGAGTATATAGATGACTAAACTACATAATAAGTAGGTAGATTTCATTTGATTTGTTACCTTTTTTGATCTCTTAAAAAAATAACTTAGTTATATTACTTTTCCTTTGATCTTTTTCATAAATAAGCAAAAAATTGCATATTCTCAAACTTGAAATGTATGTTCAGCATTAATAAAAGTTACCAAAATGATTAATTTACTGTGTTTTTGTTATTTCTTACTCCTTTTTTAGGTATTTGGTATTCGGCCGAATAGCGAAGCATAGGCCGAATATTCGTTGCATCACTAATTGCAACTTGTTGCCTCCCTTATAGGGTTTAAAAACAACAAACTCTTATTTTTTTTTTATTTCAATTCATAAAAAAAAATTTGATTTTTTAATGGAAGTTATTAATTATTTTCTCTTAATATCTAATTATCTGTAAAAATATGTAATTTTAAAGAAATTTGTAGAAATATGTGGTAAAGGTAAAAATATATAGTATAAAGTTTACATTTTGCATATATTTTATAAAAGTTACATTCCTCTATGAAGATCTATATGATTCCAACGCAAGGAAATGAACATGTAAAATCATAACTATTCTAGCCTTACATATAAGTGATGGAAATAGGCCTGCTTCAATTTAGAAGCCATTCCAAACATTTGTTCTGTGATTAAAATTATTGCTGGAAAAGTACAAAAAGTGTGTTTGTGTGATTTTACCCAAGAAATTCCAGCTTTTAAAAGATATTTGTAAGTGAAATAATGTTCTATTATAAAATTACCTTTTCTGTTATCAAATCTGTAAAATTAAAAAAGTATAATTGTTAGCTATGAAACACTGTATAATTCACCCTGACATAGACTTCTAAATGATCTCCATGATGAACTGGCTTTTGAGCAGGAACCATCTTGATATTAAATTTTCTTTCTTTTCCTGTACATTGTATTAAAAAATAACTAAATTTCAGTGATATAAGTGATATATATCTCTAACATCTCATTAAATTTAGTTAAAATCTTATTTTTTAATCCTTGTGCATTCCAATCTGGTGCCTTAAAAAAAGCTGAAGAATTTTAAAAAATACTGATTAGAATATACTGAATGAGAATGGTGTACAATAAAAAAAGAATTTACTTTAGCTAACTACTCTTCAATGAAATTGTAAGTATACTTCTCACTGTTTTTTATGATTAATTTCTTAAATTAATATGCTTACCTTCCTTTTTAGCTTTGACATGTTATGGGATCAACTTTCATCTGTGGTCACATGGCTCTTTAGTCAGATTAGAACTCATTTGCATAGCTCTCATTCTATTAAACTATTTGTTTTCTTTAATATTCTTATCAACAACAGTCTATCTTTGTTTAAATTGTAAGCGGAAAACATAATACAAATATTTGAGAAGTCAGAAAAACTGCATTCTTTTGGGTACAAATGCCTCAAGAACGTGCAATACACATATCCTCAGTGTACTCAAACTTCACTTTCTATTCCATCAAAAGTTTTTCTTTATCAAAGGGATTTCCCTTTGATAAAGAAAAACTTTTGATGGAATAGAATATATAGAATTAGTATAATAGAATTATATTAGATAGAATTAATTATTAAATTCATATTAACAGTAATCATTGGCTTAAAATATATAAAAATAAATGTTTTTGTTTAATTTAAATGATTTTATATTTTCTTAATTTAAACTTTAGGGATGTTTTTAATAAAGGTAGATATGATTTTTATTCCATAGTAGAGTAAGCTTCTTTTTCCTTCAAAGAAATCAAAAATCTTTATCTTACATTTGTAAATCCTAGGGGTCTGCATTACCTGAATTATCTTGGGTACATGGATACGAAAACTTTTATCAACTGCCACTTGCACCAAATGTGTCAGATCTCATTCTGTTTCCTTTTCTTGTCATGGAATGACAAGGAAAGGAAAACATAACTTTCCAACATTACTAAATTAATGTTCAAATGTGCTTTCCCATAACAAGTTGTTCCCAAGTTGCCTCTTATGGCAACTTTGATGTTGTGGCAGCACTTCTTATTATTTCAAAATAAAGTTGTTATGCACATTAGAAAATAACTTTTAAGTAATTTGCTAATTTTGGACATCATAGCAAAGAGGAAAAACAATTTATTATAAAAGCACATGTAAAAAAGTAAATGCAATCATGTATAATAAATATATACAGTGGATTCTCAATCTATCATTCCTGTATCAATCATTTTCCCACATCTATTGGTTGTTTTCTCCAGTCCCAAAAAATGACTCATATATATATTACCAGCCAAACCCGATT